AGTTGATGAGGATGAGGGTTTCGATGGCGGCGGCGACAGAGCTTGAGTGGCAGATAAGAGAGGAGGAATGCGACTGGAAGGAGAGAATGAAAAGATCTAAGTCACAACTATTTATAAGGAGAGGATAACTAAGACAGTGCGAGAAACGAGGAGATAACAATTATTATCCAGTGGCCCCGACGCCTCGATTCTCGGAACAGTTAATAAAAGCAGAGATCCGTTGAAGGATACGATGGAACAGAAAATGAATTAAAGAAGGATGATGTCACGCCGGGTTAAGAAGGATCCAGAAGATGACGTCATGGCGGGTTAAAGAAAGCTCTCCATACATACAAAAGAATTATGGTTTATTTCTTAAAGGTATTCTAAGATTGACATGAACAGGTTCAAATCAATCTGGGGCCTAATTTTGGGGATATAACTATTTGTGTAAGCCGCCCAGGAGGGGCCGGGTTACACAAAGAGTTTTCATCAGAGGAAGCCCAAGACCAAGACATGAAGATGGCGACTCAATAAAGGGCCAAGCCCCACGGGTGACTTAAGGCCCGTTATAGTAAACCGTCGTAATGACATGACTTGTATCATAAGGTAGACTTAACTAGTCACCGAGCCGGACACTGTTTATGAGACGGCCGGGACTCTGTAAGCCATAGGGCGTCAACCCGTGTATATAAGGGGACGACCTGCTGGCGGCTTAAGGCAAGAAACAACCCATCGAAAGCCGGGCATAGCGTATCTCGCTCCCCGGTCATCGAAACATCAAGCAATACCAACCCAACTAGATGTAGGCCTTCCTTCACCGTAAGGGGCTCAACTAGTATAAACCTCTCGTGTCCTTTGTCCCGATTAACCCCTTTAAGCTTCCTAGTTGCGATGGCTCCACGACTAAGTCCTTGCACGAGGAAATTTGCCGTGACAAAGCCATGACAAAGCCAATCATCGGCCTCAAGAGGTCTATCAGTATGAGAGAACGTTGGGGGACGTGTCTTTTCGCTACAAGAAATATGTCAACTAGTGACCTTTTGTCAGTGACCCTGGGAGAATTGGTCATGGATCTATGACCATTTCAGACCAATTGGTTAAAAGCTGTTCGAGGGGCTCCAAACCCTAAACCATTGCGACCATTTTGGTCAGAAAGGTCATAATTTCCTTACACGAAAAGGTCACAAAGCAAACAGTGCTAGTCCGCTGCCTTATTTCTAGTTGTTAATGACCAATATAGATGGTCATAGCCTTGTAGATTGTGGTGGGTTGTGATGACTAGGCGCCATCTCATCAGTTTTGCCTATGTGTCATGTCCATGTGGCGGTTTTTGTCCTAGGTTGTGAAGCAACCTATATTTCTGTTATTCCCAAAATTCCTAAAAAAATCTCATAAATTCTTTGGCTCATATCTTCGTGAAATATGTAAAAACCTTCCTTGCCTAGTTCAAAAATAATTCAAAAATATTCATCTTCTTATTCTGATCAGAGCAGCACTTTGTGAAGGAAGTACCACTTTGGCATGTACAAATGGTATCCATTTTCTACAGTGCTTTCCTATGCCCAAATAACCATCCTCCATCAAATGCCAGCTCAATCCATTCATTATTTTGAGCCCAGCTTCAACATTCGTATTTATGTCCAGTGTGGTAGTTTGTAAAGCAAGTACCACCTAGGCTCCTCCTTTTGAGGTGAAAATTTGTGAAGACGGTCTTCTTAGTAACTGATCATCCTCAGCCAAAACTCACGCCTATTAGCCATGTGCATTTCCCAAACCACAAATCAAACACTTGGCTGCTAATTCATGTTTGAGCATCAATCGGTCTCCTCGTGAGAATCTTATGTTGTGATTTTCTTCCTAGCACCTACCTGGGGAGTGCCCAACCCACTAGACATGCCTAGGCCGCCCAGAACACATGGCAACGCCACGATCATGCGGTGACCACGCGACAGGCATGCGAGCTTACGCGCTCTAGAGTTGGGGCCCTCGGCCACCGTCCAAACCTCGATGTCTCGCCATCAAACCATGTATTTCTGATTAAATAGATACTTATTTACCTAGAAATGATTTTTGGAAAAAATAAAGAGCAAACTATGAGGCAGCTGCAGTTCAAATTTGACCCGTTTCCAACTGAATCGACGACAATTTGTCTTTTTCATCAAAGGTGGATCAAAACTTTTTTCACCCAACCATTTTGTCAATTGTGCATTATATATGGCCTAGTATTTTATAAAATTGATTTGGTCCATTTCTGCAACAATTATTTGGTAGTTCCTTCACAAAAAAACCTCCTTTTGGGCACTCGGAAAATGAAAAATGAAATTTCCGTGCACAGAAAATGAAAACTTCCTTAGGCAACATTGTCTGGAATTCCAAGATGTACCCTTGTGCACAATATGAGATTATTTGAACAAACTATGCCATGAATGTGGCCATAAGATTGATCATTTGGCTTGAAAGCCATGAATCTTCACGCATGATAGCTCATTTCTAAGAACACTTTTTTAAAATAATTACCGTATTACAAGTTTATTATTTTTCCTGGAAACTTGGTCACATATAATGACACAATGCGAAGGTTTTCCAATTTTTTGATTTTTTTTGAATTTTTTATGCCCGTTTTAAAATGCAGTCAAAACAGCGGGCTTGACCGTTCCTAGCTAGTGGTTAAATCTTGGAATTTTTTTGATGTTTCTCTGATTAAATAGATACTTATGTACCTAGAAATTATTTTTGGAAAAAATAAAGAGCAAACTATGAGGAAGCCACAGTTCAAATTTGACCCGCTTCCAGGTAGATAAAAACTTTTTACCCCCAACCATTTGGTCAATTATGCATTAAATATGGCCTAGTATTTTAGAAAAATGATTTGGTCCAATTTTGCAACAATTATTTGGGAGGTCCTTCACAAAAAAACCTCCTTTTAGGCACTCGAAAAATGGAAAATGGTTTTTTCGTCCAAAGAAAATGAAAACTTCCTTAGGCAACATTGTTTTCCATTCCAATATGCACCCTTGTGCACGATATGAGATCATTTGAACAAACTATGCCATGAATGTGGCCATAAGATTGATCATTTGGCTTGAAAGCCATTGATCTCCACACGTGATAGCTCATTTCTGAGCACACTTTTTTAAATAATTGTCGTATTACAAGTTGGTTATTTTTCCTGGAAACTAGGTCACATATAATGACACAATGCAGAGGTTTTCCATTTTTTTGATTTTATTTGAATTTTTTATGACTGTTTCAAAATGCGGTCAAAACGCCGGGCTTGACCGTTCCTAGCTAGTGGTTGAATCTTGGAATTTTTTTGGTGTTTCTCTGATTAAATAGATACTTATTTACCTAGAAATGACTTTTGGAAAAAATAAAGAGCAAACTATGAGGCAGCTGCAGTTCAATTTGACCCGCTTCGAGATGAATCGACGGGAATTTGTCTTTTTCACCAGAGGTGGATCAAAACTTCTGACACCCAACCATTTTGTCAATTGTGCATTATATATGGTCTAGTATTTTATAAAATTGATTAGGTCCAATTTTGCAACAAATATATGGTAGGTCCTTCACAAAAAAAACTCATTTTGCAACAAATGAATTTTTCGTCCAAAGAAAATGAAAAGTTCCTTAGGCAACATTGTTTGTCATTCCAAGATGGACCCTTGTGCACGATATGAGGTCATTTGAACAAACTATGCCATGAATGTGGCCATAAGATTGATCATTTGACTTGAAAGCCATAAATCTTCACACATGATAGCTCATTCTGAGAACACTTTTTTTAAATAATTACCGTATTACAAGTTTATTATTTTTTCAGGAAACTAGGTCACATATAATGACACAATGCAGAGGTTTTTCAATTTTTCAGTTTTTTTTTTGAATTTTTTATGCCTGTTTCAAAATGCGGTCAAAACACCAAGCTTGACCGTTCCTAGCTAGTGGTTGAATCTTGGAATTTTTTTGGTGTTTCTCTGATTAAATAGATACTTATTTACCTAGAAATGATTTTTGGAAAAAATAAAGAGCAAACTATGAGGCAGCTGCAGTTCAAATTTGACCCGCTTCCAACTGAATCAGCGGGAATTCGTCTTTTTCGCGAGAGGTGGATCAAAACTTTTGACACCCAACCATTTGGTTATTTGTGCATTAAATATGGTCTAGTATTTTAGAAAAATGATTTGATACAATTTTGCAATAAATATTTGGTATGTCCTTCACAAAAAAACTCATTTTGGGCACTCGAAAAATGGAAAATGAATTTTCGTGCAAAGAAAATGAAAAGTTCCTTATTACTATTTTGTTATTCTTTTATTCTAAAAACTAGGTCACATTTGATGACATGATGAGAAGGTTTTTCATTTGTTTCATATTTTTCCAATTTTCCAGGTCAAGTAAATAGCTGAGATGATCTAACATCTTATTTTTAAATTTATCACGACCAATTTAATTGGTCATAATATTGTATTGTTTCTGATTGGTCCGTGGACAAGGCACACGGATCATGCACAAAACACCGTTGGATCCTCCCGGATCCAACGGCAGCCGTCACTCCTCGCCTCCCCCACCTACCCCACCTGAGGCGAAACCCTAGCTGGCATCTTCCATCCACCCCCCGCCTCCTTTCTTTCTTTCTTTCTTCCCTCCCCCTCAGATCCTCTCCCCTCTCCCCGGATGTAGATCCACTCCTCTCTCCCCTTTCCCCGATTCAGATCCATTCCCGCCGCCGTCGTCGCCCCGCCCCCTTCTCGCTGATTCAGACCACATCCTCCCACCATAGCTCGCCGCCGGGCCTCCCCCTCCCTTCCTCGCAGATCCAGAGCTGCGAGATCCATCTCTCTCCTACCTCAAGGTCGACTGGGAGCAGCGGGCTACACGCTGGCGGAGCCGCTGCCAGTCTCCTTCGCTTCTCCGAAGCACGCCGAGGAGCACCTGATCCGTCCCGGCGAGGTGGTGCTAGGAGGAGGAGGAGGAGGCTAGGAGGAGGAGGAGGAGGCTAGGAGGAGGAGGAGGCAGCGATGGGCGAGGTGGTGCTCATCTCCCGCCCCGGCGACGGCTGCGGGGGAGGCGGGGGCGTGGGGGAGCGGAAGGCGGACCAGCAGGAGCGGCAGGGGCAGGTGCTGGAGCTGCTGCTCGCGGTGCTGCGCAAGTCGGTGGCACTACCGTGCCAGATGGCGGACGCCGACGACGTCCACCACGTCGCGCATGTCACCTTCGACCGCCTCCAGGGCTTCCTCGGCCTCCCTATCGAGTTCGATCTCCAGATCCCCTGCCCAGCCCCCAGCGCCAGGTAGCTTCCTCCTCTTCTTCTCCTCAAACCAACCGGCCAGACTCTGTCCCTTCTTCTAGATTACTGCTTGCCTGCCGAGCCGCGCGTGCTCCCGCGCGAGGATGAGGATTCGCTTCGGATTTCAAATGCGTGTGCTTATCGGCCTGCAGTACCAGCATGTTCGGGGTGTCGCCGGAGTCGATGCAGTGCGGCTACAATGACAGGGGCAACTCGGTGCCCAGCTCCCAGGATGGCCTCAAGGTAGCACAACTGCGCAAGCACATTACTCTGTTCCTCTTTGCTAGCTGAAACTTCATCTAATTTGTAGCCGACAGCCGAGCAAATATGTAACATGAGTCATTTATACCCCCTCTATCTCAAGGTTAATGTTCGTGTGACTCCATTTGTTCAGATAGAGTCAACAAAGATGGTGCTGGGAACTCAAAAAACCTGCAGTAGCAGTGTTGATGATGTTCCAATTTCAGAGAAAGGTGATTCTGAATAATGTGTTCTACATACTCGCAACTCAGGGCTGCAGTGGCGATGCCAGGGCTGCACTACTGTGCCTTGAAATACTCTTAAGTTTTCCTAATATTTACAGTACATATTTTCTACAATTATGGTGACGGCTATTCAGCACTTCTGTACACATTTTCTCATTGTTTGCGTCTATCGCGCTCCTCTTGGAGCCCATGGTGCATAGGTTACATATATGCATATACCGATCTGGTTTGCTTGAGGGTGTTCTCCATCATGTTGCTTGGTGGTGTCCCATGGTCTTTTGCTGCTTCGCTAATCGCGGGATCTCAGCGTCCATGTGTTCTACTCCCTTCATTGAAAATTCCACTACAAACTAGTACATACGAATGTAATAGACATATTTTAAAGTTAGATTTACTCATTTTGCTTCGTATGTAGTTCATACCGGAGTCTCTAAAAAGACTTATATTTAGGAACGGAGGAAGCACAAATGTTTGTTTCTTTGTGTGTTCACCTATGATTTTAGTGAAACGACAACACTCTTCCTGGTTTGGTCTTGAAAAAAAGGAGCGGGTGGACATATTACATTCACTTAAGTGCTTTTGTTGTGCATCGGCAACCTTGCTTTCCTTCTCCTGCTAGTTATTTTGCACTCCTGGTGGTTGGAGATCTATTGCCATTCATGTCAGATATGCGCACCTCTGATTCATAGGCCTTCCGTTGACAGATTTGCAATACGGACTTAAGTTCCTTACTTCTGCTTCTTTGATTGATGTTGCAGGTAATAACATGTTCAGTGCTTTGAAGGTTCCAGAGTCATAATTCCAAGTCAGCTCAATGACCTCATTTGGTGTAAATGCACTAGGTATAAATTAGCCACATTGACTATCTGCGTGCCTGCCTAATTGAACGAATCAATCTGATTAGTATGTTTGCTGCCATTTTGTTAGTCTGCAGAAGCATATCTAGTTTGTTAGTCAGCCACTTTTTTGCTAGAACCATAAATCCCGATGCATGCTGATTATGGTCTGGTTTGTTAGATCTGTTCTGCTGTTGCTTAAAATTTGACTGGATTCTGAATGTGTATCTGTTGTGTATCTGCTGGTGTGTATCTGTTGTTGCCTGGATTCTGAATGAACATGTCAGTATACTATATACCCAAAAAACATGCTTACAGTTCTTTTCATTTCCATGATCAATTTAGTTAGAGTTGCACGTGTCAGTATACTATATACCAAAAAAAAACCTAGCTAGTGAGAACATTTGTCACTCCATGAACACATACTGGTTAGTGTTAGTCATACTATTTATCTACATGGCATTTTATGTCAATTCTTGCTTATAAGTTATTGGATCACTCCATGAACACATTCTTATTCTTATATTTTCATTCTTATTCTTTGCACAGGTGAAGTGTGAATCCAAGGCCAAAGCTGTGAATCATATCAACAAAGAGGAGCATATTATGTGTTGTAATTGTACGCATATCTGGGTTGTAGTATACTGAATTGTAATAGACTAATGTAGTCTTGTTTTGGGCGAATTTCATTTGCTCTCTAGTCTGTTCAAAACAATGATTGTGTATGTGATTTGAATACCCGTGAAATGGAAACCTGACAAGAGGGTCCAAGTTATAATGGTTGTTTGACAAATTTCGAAATTTTTGACATGTGGGACATATTTTGAGATAAGCATGACATGTGGGGCTGGCTTACTAGTGGTACCCCAATGTATAATGGCTGAAAGTAGAAAAATCAATGGACTAAAAAGGCTACGGCCCAAAAATAAAATGGCTTAAATGTTGGGCCTGGCCCATGTAGCTACCGAAAATTAACAAGAAAAAAATACATTAAAAGGCCGAATTGTTGGGCTAGGCCCATGTAGAAAACCGAATTGGACCGGGCTGAATCTTGTGCCACATCAGCTTGCCACGCTGGATGCCTACGTGGACTGGGGAGGCTGCTAGTGACCAAAACGCCACAGTAGGAATATTTTGGTCGTAAACGTCCATGACCTTCTCACAGAGAAGGTCGCTATAGTCAGTTTACCACCCTCAGCTTTTGACCTTCTGTTTTTGGTCACAAAAAGGTCACAAATGAAAAACTATGACCTTTCAGTGACCAATAGTGGAGGTCACAAGATAACATATTTCTTGTAGTGTTTGTAGTTCAGACAATTTGGAATGCTACTGATATGGTTCACGGTGATTTCACATATTGATAACATGATTCATCATTTCTTGATGCTGCTGCTGGCTTTGCTCATAAAGGCGGCATACTTGAGAAAATGCTGCTTCACTACCTTGCTGACTTGACTGCCCTTGTGTGAAATTGTTACTTGTCTGGGTACAATAATTTTCTTCCGGCGGACTTGGCATGGAACGAGTCCAGGGACGAGGCATTTTCCACTCTGGGTATTTTTGCAGAACTCATGAGAAAAACTGAGTGGTGAAAATAAATAATTTTGCCAAGGCGGAATTTTCTTTTTAAAAACTCCAAGATTTTTCAAGAAAATACTTGATTGCGCATGGAGAAGGAGCGCTCAGTATATATCTTACACGCAAGCCGTAATTATACAATACATCACTCAAGATGTGCGTACAAATTCCTGACATGTTATTTAGGCTAGTGCACTTCTCCGAGTTCCTACATGATGCGCACACAAACTACTTCTCACCAAACCTATATATACATATAAACATATCATACAAGCTGGTACATCGTACGGCTGCTAGGCGCACTTAGTCGGAGATGGTAAAAACTTCCCTCGGCCTGCCGAGGGTAAGACCCAGTGATGCTGGAGACTCAACCTCCTCCTGACTAATAGGCTCCAGGCGCGAAGTACTGGGTTGAGGAGCTGGAGCGGGCGCGGCAGTTGGTGCAGCACCGACTGGAGTAGGAGGAATGACATGGTCAAACTCCTCAGTGGTAGGCAGGCGGCGAGCGGAGGCTAAGATGGCAGGTGTATAGGATGCTGAGGACGAGACGTAAGTCAGTGGTGGTGCTGTATGGAGGAGCTCCCTCCTGTTGGCAGAACATCCCTGAACTAAGTCCATACGAGCAGCCACAAAGTCATCCACGAGGTTATCAAAGGCTACCTCAAGATCTTTGAGATACTCAACCAACATTTCAATAGCCTCATCTCTCTCCCCCCCCTGGCGCAACCGAACGCATAGTGACATGTGTATGGCACGTGGCATGGGAGGTAGCGGTAGCGACGAGCCTTCATCGAAGGGAGGGCATCCCGGAGACGAGCTATCGCCTCACGGGAAGCCATTTGCATGGCATGCCTCTCTGTAGGCATGGCCCTTCCCACAAATCGGAAGCGGCGTGACTTAGAACGTCCTCCCTTAAATTGCACCGCGGCCTGGTGCATAGACACGCTGTCGCTGATCTTGTGCTGGTAGAGTGTGAACTCCGGACGAGCCGATGGCCCGATCACGACCTTGATGATGGAGACGAGAAGCTTGATAAACCCCTCAGGTACATTGGCGAACACCTGTGACTCACAGTCGCTGCCAGCCATCTACAAAGGTAGACAAAAATTCCGAATAGTCAAATCATAAATTTATGATGACTAACAGAAAATTGCTACATTTGCAAAATGTTAAAATAGCACTTATTACGCTAATAACCGATTAGCGATCGCACCTAGTCGCTTCCTACAGTCAGCCTGGCTCTGATACCAAGGTTGTCAGGACCGGTTTTCCAATAAAATATTTATTGAAAAATTGACCATTTTATCAGACCAGTATAGGTAAATCCTCCTTACTAGTAGACAAATCCTTGATACAGAAATCCAGAAGTACTAAATATTATAAAGGGTTGAGCTGTTGCTCAACAATTTATTACAAGCACGCCGATAATTACACATAAAGGCGGATATGACACAAAGGGTATGGTAGCATAACTACTGACTCGTAATAAAAGTGGTGGTGGATATGTCACAGTGAAGTGGGTGACATGACTCCAAAATCTTACAGCTCATCAAGCGCTGGAGTGAGGCTCGATGATTTTATTAGGGTAGCGGAAGCGTATGTAATACAAGTGACCAACTCCAGGATCGCACGGGACTGACTGGGACTCCTCTAGGCGTCGGACTCGCTATCGTACTCTTCATCCATAAGATCGCCTTCATCAACATCTGGCCAAATCAACAAGCCAGGTGAGTACTTTGAATGTACTCGCAAGACAGTCTGGACATAAGATATAACAAATGCTAACATGATGCACATGAGCAGACTAGTAATGTGCACTCAGATAGTAAATTTGTACTGCACGTTAAATAAAAAGGAAGTCAGGCGGTAGTCCTCCTGAAATCCCAATAAAATAACTGAACACCGATCGGGTGTCTGAAAGCACAAGTGCTCCCTAGGTGGTTTTGGTAATTAATGTCAACATATCTCTTGTTGGACTAACACTTTTATCTAGTATGTTTCAGATAAGTTCAACAATGGAGTGGCATGGATTAAAGGATGTGGGAACTCCCTCAAGATGCTAAGGACAAAGGATTGGTTCAAGCTTCAAGCTCAAGACTCTTCATTTTACATTTTAGTGATCCAAGATCACATTGAGTCTATAGGAAAAGACAATACTATCAAGGAGGGATGAGGTGTTTCTTAATAAGCCTCCATCTTCATGTGCTTAGTGATATGCTCCAAAAACCCTCCACTACTTTCTCACATCCACATATGACCTAAACCTATAGCCAAACTCGGCCCCACCGATTCTTTCTATCCGGCGCCACCGAGTTCAAATGTCATAGCTGTTGGAAATATGCCCTAGAGGCAATAATAAAAGTATTATTATATTTCATTGTTCATGATAATT